TTTAAAAGCTAAACTTATTAGATTTGCAAAGTTACAATAGCAGAATTATTTAAAAAGAAAAATCCCAGAGGGTTAGAATTACACTGCTAAACCTTTCCAATAGCTTAACTGTGTTTCCTTTTCCATCCAAATTGCCCTATAGTATTATTATGGGGTGAAAGAGCAAAAAGGTGCACAGTGCCTCTAGAGAGCCCTGTGTTTATTGTGCTGTCATTGCCTCCATTCTTGACCAATCCTATATTTTGGTGGGCACTTTGAGAGTTTGAGAGAATCTGCTCAGCCAGTGCAAAGAATTTCATTTCACAAATATCCATTTTTTCAGGCTAGACTTCAAAATGACCACTCCTTGAAAACCCCCATGTTTGGTTTTTGCTCACAAGGATTGCCTAAAATATTAGCTTAAGAATACCCCACTCATACCTAGCATTAATGTATGACCTCCTCATGGGAAAAAATGCCTTCCCTTTTTTAAACAGTTCCTTCTGACTGTGTTCCTTGGGCACAGTAATAGGTCGCTGAATTTACAACTGTCAGAGATCAGCCGAGTGGGTGGATTGGTTTGGGAAAAATGGGTCATAGTATGTGTGCCTTGTATTGATACCCCAATTTATCTCACCAAACCATTCCAATCCTTTTCCAGGAGACTGACAAACCCATTTCCAGTCATTTTTCCCCCACACAGAATCTCCAGTAACAGTAGAAGTTAGTCAGAGAGATTGCCCAAGTTGCCAAATATTTGGCCCAGATTCCACAAGTCGGACTCTGGAGTGGACATCTAAAGTCAAGAACAAAAGATTCATTAATAAAAGATAAACTTGGGCCACATGGCTTTCTCTGCATTTATTTAAAAAATACTTACATAGTGGAGCTGTGAACAGTGAAATCGAAAAATAGGAAAACTTCATTGTTGAGATTTAGGAACATCCCTATTGGCAGAGATGCATCTTCAGTTATTTGTCAGATTCCATCCAAATGAAAGGGCAATTTGCATGTGATTTTCATGTAGTGATGCTATAACTGATAAAAAACAAGTGGTCCAAAGTCCTCAGAGAAGTCTCAGACTTCCAGTTCTTTGAGCCAGGACATTAACAGAGCTCTACCTTATTGAATTACGGATATAAACCAAAACTTTGTTCTTGTATAACAAAGGACTGCTGTGCGATCACTATCTCGGGATTTAAAAAAACAATCTTGGTTTTTAAAAAAGTGAGATATCTCTGTTCTCCTTTACAAGGAATGATAATCCGATAGTGCTATAACCATTATATTCTGATTAGAAATGTTTCTTGGGTATATATTACATTTCAGTAAGGTACGTGGTACATTTCAGTATTTATGCCATACTATCTTCTCTAAGTATCTGAGAACTTTTCTACATTTGTTGATGTTATGCGCACAGGATTCTCGGGAAAGTGAAAAACCATGAATGAGGAAACTGCTATTTTATTGACTAAGAGGACACCCCTCTAAAAATGTCTAGTTTTCTCAGATTGACATCACGATTTGCTTCTTCTAGATCAGGCATGGGCAAACTTCAGCCCTCCAGGTGTTTTGGTCTTCAACTTCCACAATCCCAAACAGCTGGTCATATGCCGCTGGTTTAAACCCTGTATGATGAAGTCACTAGACTGAAGCTTTCTTCTAATTCTTAAAAATTGAAGGTACTGGTGGACCATTTCCCCAAAGTAGATGGTTTCTTGTTATTCTGTGTGTGTATGAAGAACTTTGTTGATCATTCAGTAATGGTCCTAACATCAGTCCCTGATGCTGGTGTGACAGCGAGAGCTTTGTGGTCATTTGCAACAGGAGCGTGGCATCATAACTGGGTGCAGCCAGTTAACAGGTGATGAGAATGCTGAAATAGGAAAGCTACGAAAGAGGAGTTTCTAGGTCAAAACTGACAAAGTGACATTGAAGCAAGTCCAATACCTTTGGTAACAGTTCCTACTACATAATGCTGTGTGCAACCCATTGCTCTTCCCTGTGACAAACATACCCCCGTTATTGATGGGAAAACCTGTCAATAGCTCCCAATCACATGATGTTCCTATGAGGTACCTTGTGTGATGATTCAGGATTTGCTTCTTTGCTGGCACAGAAGTGATATCCGAGGACCGGACCAATCTGCTCCCCTACTTCTCCTTGCACTAATTCATAATTCAAAGGTATTTCAAAGCTAAGCTTTGCCAGATTTGCAGTTATAATAGCAGAATTATTTTAAAAATTCTGCTATTTGTATTTCTAGGTGCAAAGACTACTGCACATGCAGACTGTGGCCAGGAAATCAGAAGATGCTTCCTTCTTGGGAGGAGAGCAATGTCCTATCTCGATAAAATAGTAAAGAGTAGAGACATCACACTGGCAACAAAGATCCGCATAGTCAAAGCCATGGTATTCCCTGTAGTAACCTACGGATGTGAGAGCTGGACCTTAGGGAAGGCTGAGCAAAGGAAGATAGATGCTTTTGAACTGTGGTGTTGGAGGAAAGTTCTGAGAGTGCCTTGGACTGCGAGAAGATCCAACCAGTCCATCCTCCAGGAAATAAAGCCCGACTGCTCATTGGAGGGAAGGATACTAGAGAGAAAGTTGAAGTACTTTGGCCACATCATGAGGAGACAGCAAAGCCTAGAGAAGACAATGATGCTGGGGAAAGTGGAAGATAAGGAAGAGGGGCCGACCAAGGGCAAGATGGATGGATGGCATCCTTGAAGTGACAGGACTGACCTTGAAGGAGCTGGGGGTGGTGATGGCCGACAGGGAGCTCTGGCGTGGGCTGGTCCATGAGGTCACGAAGAGTCAGAGACGACTGAACGATTGAACAACAACATTGGGAGGGCAGCATTATGCTGCTAAGCCTTTCTGGATATTTAGCTATGTTCCTTTTCCCATTCATCCTGCCATACAATATTATTATGGGGTGAAAGTGCAAAAGTGCAAAAAGGTATGCAATGGCTGTAGGGAGCCAGTGTGTCTTTTGTGCTGTCATGACCCCAACCTGCCCAATCCTGTATTTTGTTGGGCAGATAAAGAGAATCTGCTCAGTGACTGCAAAGAATTTCATTTCACAGATCCAAATTTCAAACTCCCTGAAAACCTCCACATGTTATTTTCTGTTCACAAAAACTGTCTAAAATATTAGTTTAGCAATCCTCCACTCATTCCTAGCACTCATGTGCAACCATCCCATAGGGGGAAAGTGCCTTCCCTTTTTGTGCAGTTCCTTCTTTGCTTTGTCTCAGTGTGTTCCTCGAGCACAGTAATAAGTTGCTGAGTCTGCAACTGTCACAGATCTCAACTCCAGATAGTACTGATTCTTGGAGGAATCGGCTGTGAGAGTGGATCGACTTTGCACAGATGGGTTATAGTATGTGCGCCATGTGCTGCCAGTCCAGACTATTTGGCCCAACCATTCCAGTCCTTTTCTAGGAGGTTGACGAACCCATTCCCAGTAAGTACTTTTCACAGAATCTCCAGTAATAGTGCACGTTAAATGGAGGGATTGCCCAGGCTGCAGAATATTTGGCCCAGATTCCACAAGTTGGACATTGGAGTGAACACCTAAAGACAAGAATAAAATAAACATTACTATAATATAAACTTGGAACACATGCCATTCTTTGCATTTATCTAGAACAGTGGTTCCCAACTTTTGGTTCTCTAGGTGTTTTGGACTTCATCTCTCACAATTTCTAACAGCTGGTAAGCTAGCTGGGATTTCTGGGAGTCCAAAACACCTGGAGGATCAAAGGTTGGTCTCCATTGATCTGGATGATACACAGTGGAGCCGTGAACAGTGAAATCAAAAGATAGGAAACCTTCATTGTTGAGAATGAGGAACCTGCTTGAGAGTAATGGCCGATATGCATCTCCAGTGAATAGTCAGAATACTTTTAAGTGAAAGGGCAATTTGCATGTGATTTTCCTGTAGTGAAGGTATAACTGATAAGAACAAGTTGTTTTAAGTCCTCAGAGAAGTCTCAGACCTGAGGTTCCTCCTAGCCAGAACAAAAACAGAGCTCTCCCCAATATGATTAGTGATACAAATCATGGCTAAAGATGCCTCTAGAATTACTCTAGAATTAAAGCAGTTTAATACCATTCTAGTTGCCGTGGCTCAATGGTATGGCACCATGGGAGTTGTAATTTGGCAAGGCAAAAGCACTGTCTAATAAAGAGGCTACAACTCCTGTGATACTATACCATTGAGCCAAAGCAAGAAAAGTGATTAACTGTATCAATTCTAAATTGTAGATGCACCCCTGATTGATCGTCACATGGGAAAGGAATACCACTTTCCCCCACTGTGATACATAGCCTTTTTTGAGGGGGAATTTCTCCCTGTTTCAAATCGATTTTATTATTATTTCATTGTTATTCATTGGAGGGAGGGGGGGGATTTAGAATTACACATAATTATGATTAAATGAATTGAGTTTTAAAAACACATAATTTCAAGAAATTCAATATGAAAAAGGAATGAGTCATAGAAGTATCATTTTTATACAGGAAAATCGTAGGTTTCCATTTCAGAAGGGAAGGACTTCTAATAAGTTTTGTAGCATAAATCTCATGTTATTCAGTCAACTGGAGATTGTTTTGGAGCAAAGGCTGGTTTTTGTCTGGCTTCAGTTTTACTTCCTCTCACTGTGTCGCTTGCACAATAATATGTGGCAGTGTCTTCTGTTTTCAGGTCATTCATTTGCAGATAGAGCATGCTTGAAGGGTTGTTCCTGGAGATGGTGAAGCGCCCTTTCACTGAGTCTGCATAGTATTGCTCACTCGCATCATACCATATAACTGCAATCCATTCCAGCCCCTTTCCAGGAGCCTGTCTTATCCAATGCATGCCATAGTCTCCAAAGTTGAACCCTGATCCCTGGCAGGACAGACGGAGGGATTCTCCAGGTCTTTTCAC